CTCATCCTTCACTCGAATCCTTAGGCTGCTCGACGTATACATCTTCTTCTAACTCTCCGCTGCAGGAAGGCACTCTTAACATCGAGCTGGTATACCTTCCATGCTTTCTCCGCAACCAAAGCTAGTATCGATCTGATGGTATCCCATTTGGCCACCAGAGCAAAGACTTCCTAGTAGTCTACGCCTTGTTTCTGGTGATACCCTTTAGCAACCAATCTCGCCTTGAATTTGTCGATCTGCCCTCTCTCGTTGAGCTTGGTTTTAAAAATCCATTTCACCCCAATCACTTTCACTCCTTCTGGTAACTCCATCAGTTCCCATGTGTTGTTTTCTTCAATCGATGAGATTTCTGCTTCCATTGCTTTCCTCCAAACCTTTTCTCTTACAGCTTCCTCAAAGCTTTCGGGATCCTCAGCTGCGATAAACATCGCGAATATATCATCCCCATCCTCAGTGATAACAAAGTTTGCAGTTTTAGCATTCCCAGCTACATAATTTTTCATCCAAATCGGAGCCTGCCTTGATCTCCCAGACCGTCTCACTTCCTGATTTGGTTGCTGCTCTTCTACTTCCTCTGTGTTATCACCATCATCATTCTCTTCTTCTGCAACTGTTTCTTCTAGAGTATCTCCTGGATTTTCAACTTCTTTTTCTTCATCAGAATCCAATTCTGTATCACTCCACACCAGTTCTTTGTCTTGGCTTGTTCCTGTCCAATCCCATCCTTTGGACTCATCGAACTGCACATCTCTACTTATCACAATCTTCTTCGTCTCCGGATTGTATAGACGATTGGCCTTAGACTCCTTACTCAGTCCAAACATCACACACTTAGCACTTTTTTCATCAAGCTTGATCCTTCTTTCATATGGAATCATGGCATACGCAATACACCCGAAGATCCTAAGATGTTCCACAGTTGGTTTGTGATTGCTCCATTTCTCCTGAGGTGTCACATCTTCTAACGCAGCTGATGGACTTTGATTCAGTATATGCACTGCATATTGAACAGCTTCTGGACAGAACCTTCGTGGCACCGATTTTTCCAATAGCAAGCATCTAGTCATGTTCATGACACTCCGATTTTTTTCTCTCTGCAATCCCATTTTGCTGTGGCGTGTAGGCTGCAGTGAGCTGTCGTTTTATACCATTTTCTCTGCAGTAATCTTCAAATGCCTTGGAGTTGTACTCTCCTCCTCGATCTGTTCTCAAACAGACCAAACTCTGCCCCAATTCTCTCTCCGACTCTGCTCGAAAATTTTTAAATGTGCTCGAAAATAAGTCCAGCATTTCCTACTAAAATCATCGATGAAATTAATGATATACTTCTTACCACCAGCTGATGTTGGGGAGATGGGTCCGCATATGTCGCTATGGACCAACTGTAGTCCACGAGTGGATTTCCATAGGCTCTTCTTAGGGATGCTCTCACGAATTTGCTTACCCCTCATACAAATTTTGCATAGACCGGCTTCAGATTCATCTTGGTCGAGCTTTGTAATGCCATTCACCATTTGTTTCTCCACCAACGATCTCAGTCCCGTATAACTAAGATGCCCAAGCCTCTTGTGCCATATCTGAACTGGCTTCTCCATTACTTGCAGGCACTTGGTTTCCACAGTTTCTCTTGCCTCTTTCACTCTTGCTTGGACGATGAACATTCGATTCTTTGTCATGGTAGTGCGCAGGACCAGTCTCTTCAATTGTTTGTTCCAGATCTCACACACATCTTCATCAATGACAACCTTCAAGCCCTTTTGTTGCAGTTGTCCCAGACTGAATAAATTATTTTTCAGACCTGGGACATAGTAAACCGATGTGATTACTGAGATAGAGCCATTGATCTCCAGTCGCAGATTTCCTCTTCCTTCTACCATCATCCTCCTGTCATCACCTAACTTCACATTTTGGCGGAAGGAACTATGTAGTTCAACAAACTAGTCTTTGTTCCCGCACATATGGTTGCTACACCCCGAATCTAGGAACCATATGTGTTCATCTCCCTTAATTTCGTCGATGTGCGCCATGAGCAGCATATCTTCCTCCATCTCCACGAAATTGGCTTCCTTTTCCCATTCTGGACATTCGGACTTGTAATGTCCTTTTTTGTGACATTTGAAACACTCCACATGTTCCTTGTTGTAGCCCGAGCTTCCACATCCACGACCTTGGTATCCTCCTCTTCCTCTTCCTCGATATGGAGATCTACGATGGCCTCTTTCTCCTTCCGGTTTCCACTGGCTTTCCACCTTCAACGCGTGTTCATCTCCTGTGTGTCGACTCAGATTCTGCTCATGAACCATCAATGAGCTTTGTAATCCATCAACACTCATCTCATTGATGTTCTTTGATTCTTCGATCGCACACACCATGTATGTGTATTTTTCAGTAAGTGTACGCAAGATCTTCTCGACCACTTTGGAATCCGGCATCTCCTCTCCAAGGTTTCTCATATCGTTGGTGACCTCCATTACTCTTGAGACATATTGTTCGATCACCTCTCCTGCCCTCATCTCGAGAACTTCGAAGCTTCTTCTCAGCCTCTGCAGCTGCGCACTCTTGACTCTGTCATCGCCTTGATATTTCATTTTCATCGAATCCCACAGCTCCTTCGATGTTTCCTTCTTCAGAATTGTTTTGAGAATTGTCTTGTCGATTGATGCGAACAAGTAATTCTTCACCTTGTGATCCTTCACGATCCTCTCTGCACGCTCCGTTCTTTGTGCGCCATTCAGGATCACGTTCGGTTCCGGTTGACTGATCCCTGTCTCGATAAGATCCCACCACTCCTTGGATCTTAGCAAGTTTTCCATGAGCATTGCCCAATGCTCATAGTCTCCGTCGAACTTAGGGATAATCACAGAATCTTTTTCACTCATTTCTCTCTTGTACCAGGCTCGTGACAAGCTCTGATACCACTTGTTACTTTGTAAAGCTATTCAGTTTTGAAAACAGAGGAACAAAGTTTGACTGAATGCTTCACGATATCATTATTCTCAAGAGATTGACTCTTAAATAGACCTTACAACGTGCAGCTACAAAATAAGAACTAAACAACTGAAACAAATTGACTCCTACAAGTCAGGAGACTTATTCAAAACGATTGAAACATTCAAACTTGACCAATTGACTCTAATTGATTCTTCAATTTCGTCGAACAGCTTTCTTTGACATCCCGAGTTTTATCAGAATGGTTCCAAGTGATTTGAACGTTGGGTCATCGGGTTGAATTCCGGATGAAACCATCTCTTTGAAAGTCTCAACAGCTTCTTTGAATCTTCCGTCTAAAGCGTATAAAACGAGAACGTGTTGTAACTCAACGGATCAGTCGAATCTTCATCTCTCTCATCTGTTTTGCTATCTGAGTCGCTTCTTCGAACCTTCCATTCTTCTTGTACATACATAACATCATCCCGAAGGTGAACTCGTTTGCTTCTCTTCTCTGTTTCATGCTTTCGAATATAGCTTCCATTTTTCTCACCATTGATGTTTCACTATACAGGTTGTTGATGTATCTACATCCGGATACTATGTCTCGTTACATGATTGAAGAAGCTTTCGGTATATTGCTTCAGCTTCATTTAAGTAACCGACTTTAGTGTAGAGCTTGATCAGAGAATTGTATATAAACGAGTTGTATTTTGTCAAATTTAAACAATCTTTTGCAAAATTGAACCAACTTTTTCATTTAAATTGAAATAGTTGTTTTTCTTATGGATATTTAAGGTGTTCCGGGTAAACATACCTTATCCGAACCGAACCAAAAATAAATTCGATTTTATTAATTCAGCTCTCCATTCAAATAGCCAAACTTAATTCGAACCGAAATTCCAAAATACTTGAATGGATCCTAGAATCCCTTAAACAGACTACTCATAACTGAACAGAACCAATCCAAACTCGAACGGATATCCTAATGGCCCAACTGTAGGCTCTAGGATCGAAGAGTGATAGTTTTATCTAATTAAGTAACTTAAGTTAACATGGTGCAGAAAATAGGGATTCTTACAATTGTTATGTAACATCATATATGTCTCTTCAACATCCTCCCTGACTTTAGACGTTTTGTCGAGTGGAAATTTATTCCCAAAATAAATGGGGAGAGTGGGTTCGCTGACTCCGTCTCAACCACATGACTCGATAACCGATCAATAAATGTCTTTCTAAATCTTTGGTTGGTGTCCACAAAAACAAAATTATTTTCCCATTTTACTCATTTTTGCTTCTTTTTAAATAAAAAATAATTCATATATATGAAGAAGAATTGCCAAGAATTTTTCTTTTATAAAGACAAGTGAGTAAGCAATACATATCGATCACTTACCATTCAACAAACAAAACGTATTTGTTTCCAAAAGAAAATAATTGTCATGAGTCGAAACAAGTCTTATTGGTTTGGTGTTACCATCTATTTCTTAGTTTCTTGTCACCCTTTTATAAACACCTTTGCTTCTCCCACACAGTCCTTGTGCCGCAACGACCAAAGGGATGCTCTTTTAGAGCTAAAAGAAGAGTTATCAATCCATTCCAGAAACAGCGCTCCTGTACCAACAATTTCATGGAACAAGCGCGTCGACTGCTGTTCTTGGAAGGGTGTGAAGTGTAATGCTATCTCCGGAGAGGTGATATCACTAAAACTTGGTGACCCCTCTACATTCAACAGCTCTTGGAAATCTAGCAGTGGTCTTTTTAAACTCCAAAATCTTCTTCACCTAGATCTTTCATCTTTAGGTCTCCAAGGGGAGATTCCTTCTTCCATTGGAAATCTTTCTCATCTCACATATCTTGATCTTTCTTTCAATCAATTAGTTGGTGAAGTTCCGGCTTCAATCGGTAACCTAAACCAACTAGGATACATGGATCTTTCAGATAATAATCTCAAAGGTAATATTCCTACTTCATTTGCCAACTTATCCAAGCTTTCTGAATTGCACCTCCGTGAAAATCAATTCACGGGTGGCGATATAGTATTAGCCAACTTAACCAGCTTATCCATTATAGTCCTCTCCTTCAATTACTTCAAATCCGCCATTTCTGCTGACCTTAGTGGACTCCACAACTTAGAGCGATTTTGGGTGTATAACAACTCATTTTTCGGACCTTTTCCCTCATTCTTGCTCACGATTCCTTCGTTAGTCGATATTGATTTAAGTGAAAACCAATTCGAGGGACCTATTGATTTTGGGAATACCTCTTCATCATCTAAGTTGACAGAGTTAGATCTCAGCCATAACAATTTCGGAGGACGAGTCCCTAGTTCTATATCAAAATTAGTCAATCTCGCTAACTTAGATCTTAGCCACAACAATTTAGGAGGGCAAGTCCCTAGCTATATATCAAAATTACGCAATCTCTTATCTTTAGATCTCAGCCATAACAATTTCGGAGGACGAGTCCCTAGCTCTATATCAAAATTAGTCAACCTCAGTTCCCTTGATCTTTCCTACAACAAGTTGGAAGGGCAAGTACCTCAATGTATATGGAGATCTTCTAAGTTGAATTCAGTGGACCTTTCTTATAATTCTTTCAGCAGTTTCGGCATAATTCTAGAACCCACAAAGGACCAATTAGTAAGAGACTGGGATCTTAGTTCAAATTCACTCCAAGGACCAATTCCCCAATGGATCTGCAACTTCAGATATTTTTCCTTCTTAGATTTTTCCAACAACCATCTCAATGGCTCAATTCCACAATGTTTGAAGAATTCCACTGATTTCAACATGTTAAATCTGCGAAACAACAGTCTAAGTGGATTTATGCCAGATTTATGCATCGATGGCTCACAGTTGCGATCACTTGATGTCAGCCTCAACAATTTCGTGGGGAAACTTCCAAAATCTTTGATCAACTGCGAGTGGATGGAGTTTCTAAATGTGAGAGGAAACAAGATCAAAGACACGTTTCCGTTTTGGTTGGGATCTCTACAATACCTAAAGGTTCTTGTGCTCCGATCAAATACATTCTACGGTCCAGTCTACAAGCCATCCGCCTATTTAGGCTTTCCAAGCCTGAGGATCATGGACATATCCAATAACAACTTCGTTGGATCGTTACCACAAGACTATTTTGTCAATTGGACTGAAATGTCATTGGTATGGCGACGGCCTATGCTCACACTCGGTTACAAACCACATCTAACTATACCAGGATCAAGCTACATGGGGGATGGTTCCAACAAGCATCAAGATTCTATTGATTTGGTATATAAAGGAGTAGACACAGATTTCGTACTAATCTTTCAAGCCTTCAAAGCCATTGATTTTTCTGGAAACCGATTCTCCGGATACATTCCTGAATCCATTGGTCTATTGAGCGAATTGCGTCTTCTCAACTTATCAGGCAACACATTCACTGGCAATATCCCACCGTCATTGGCAAATATTTCAAAGCTCGAGACGTTAGACCTATCGCGAAACAACTTGTCAGGTGAAATTCCTCGAGGTCTCGGGAAACTCTCGTTTCTCTCCAACATCAACTTCTCCCACAATCATCTTGAGGGATTGGTGCCTAGGAGCACACAGTTTGGAACTCAAACTTGTTCTTCATTCATGGGTAACCCCGGACTCTATGGCCTCGAGGAAATTTGTCGAGAAAGCCATCATGTCCCCGTTCCTACTACATCTCAGCAACACGAGGAATCTTTGTCAGAAACGAAAGAGCCAGTGCTGAACTGGATAGCAGCCGCGATAGCGTTTGGACCTGGTGTGTTTTGTGGATTAGTGATCGGGCATATATTTACTTCATACAAGCATGAGTGGTTTATTATATCTCGTTAAGCCCATCTCTCTCGCGGTTTCGTCAAGTTTGTACTCCCGTAATTAGTTCGCCAGGTGTTTATTCTTTTCACTTCGTATCGTGGTTGTCTTATAAACAGTGTCAATGTTATAAACTTTAATGTTCTCACCATTTTATGTAATATGGTCCATGTTGGTTGCATATGTTTGTCAGTTATAAAGCGTTAACAAAGTGTCTTGAAAATGATGTTTCTTTTACAATATCTCATAGCCATACATTTATCTCTAATTTGAGTCTAAAAATCTTCATCTTAGTTGATTCATTGCATATTTGCATATATTTAGATCATTTATAATATGATCTTGTATTATGTTGGAATTAGGATGAACAAAACAGATGTAGAGTCTCTATTACAGAAACAGAGGAGATAAATCCAAAAATCGTATCGGCCACAATGTAATTCTTCACAGGGGAGACTTGCTGAGAAAGAAGATAAACCTTGAAGAGTGGCTTTTGCTCTTTCTTCACCTTATGACCTATAATTAATAATAAACCCATTTCCCACGGCATTACTTGGGATCATTACTTGTATAATCATGAAGAAATCAAATCTCCCGCTTCCATAGTCTTTATAACGGTTTTTATATACATAGAGTAGAGACACAGCTAAAAATCTACCAAAAATTGTCAACACTAAAGCTCGTCCTCGCAATCTTCAATCCCAACAAGAGATGAGAGAGTTGAGATCCATAATTCTAATCCTCGCTTAATCTCTTTTTTCCTAATTTCTTCGATCTTACGAACAGCTTTTTTCGACATCCCAAGTTTTATCAAAATGGTTCCAAGTGATTTGAACGTTGAGTCATCAGGTTGAATTCCAGATGACACCATCTCTTTGAATGTCTCAACAGCTTCTTTGAATCTTCCGTCTAAAGCATATAAACCGAGAACGCTGTTATAACTCAACGGATCAGTTAGAATCCTCATCTCTCTCATCTGTTTTGCTATCTGAGTCGCTTCTTCAAACCTACCGTTCTTCTTGTACATACATAACATCATCGCGAAGGTAAACTCGTTTGCTTCTCTTCTCTGTTTCATGCTTTCGAATATAGCTTCCGCTTTTCTCACCATCGATCTTTCACTACACAGGTTGTTCATACAATGTGAGGTATATACATCCGGATACTGTGTCTCGTTACACGATCGAAGAAGCTTTCTGTATATTGCTTCAGCTTCATCTAAGTACCCGACTTTAGTGTAGAGCTTGATCAGAGAATTGTATATAACAGAGTTTCCTGGAATTCCAGCTTCTTTCATCGCTTCTACATAACTCATAGCTTGCTGAACGTTTCCAGTATCCGCAAAAGCATTGATCAAGACGCCATATACAACAACATCGGGTTCGATATTGTACTCAACCATCTCTTTATACACTTCCTCTGCCATATTGAGCTGACCCAGTTTCACAAAGCTCGAAATCACAGCACAGTAAGGTATACAATCGCTCACATATCCCGTCTCTCTCATTTTTTCCAGGTAGCATTTGGCTTTATCAGGCATGTCGGCGCTCGCAAGGATCTGGACGAGAGTATTATATGTACACTTATCCGGTGTGACCCCATAACTCATCATGCTCTCAAATAACTCACACGCCTTTTCACAGCTTTTACTAATTCCATAAGCTTTGATCATTACGTTGTACTCAAGAACTGTTCTCTTATTTACTTCTTGGCAGCAGATAAATACCCTCTCGGCTTCTGATAAATATCCACGCTCACCATATGCATCAATGTTGGCTGAATAGCCTTCAGAACTCATATTACCCGCAACATGAACCCTTCTGAACCATGACCATGATTTCTCAAGCATCTCTGCTTCTATATACATTCTAGTGAGAGCAGATTGTGTATACTCATCAATCTCAACATCATTATCATCCATCTCTGCTATAAGCTCTTCAGCTTCCTTAACCATACGTCTAATCGAGAATGCATAGAGGAGAGTGCGGTAACTTACAGGATCCGGTTTAAGCCCAGCGCCTTTCATTTCCTTGAAGTAGGTCCCTGCCCTTTCTATATCGTTGTTCTTCGTGTGAAGTGAAATCAGAATGTTATATGTTCTTGTATCAGGTGCGCAATGAAACTTCATTGTTTTCATCAAAGAAGTGACTTCACCAAACTGACCATTATTGCCATAAACATGAATCATGGTATTAAAAGTCACTGTGGTTGGAACAATCCCTTCTTCTAGCATCCTCTTGAACGTCTCTGAAGCCTCTTTTATCTGACCGGACTTACCATACGTATCAATCATCGTGTTGTAAGTATAAGAGCTCAAGCAAACATGTGAATCCGCCTTGTTTTCGTCACACGACCATTTCTTGAAAAACTCCTCCGCTTTTTGAAACTCTCTTGCCTTTTTATACATTTGAAGAACAATCCCCGTCGTAACTTCATCAGGCTGCATCCCAATCTTACTCATCTTCCCTAGCCAACAAAGCGCATGTACTTTAAGCCCGCCTTTGCTATAAACATCGATGAGAGTCCCATACGTCGAATTAATCGGCTTGATACCTTTCCTAATCATTTCATCCCACAAACTCTGCACATACCTCCATTTACAAGCTTTCCCAAGTATCCGAAGCATGATATTATAATGAATCACATTCAATTCATAACAACCCTTACTCTTAAACCACTCGAAATCTCCACCGCTCTCTCCCACCGCGTCTGCTCCTTTTAAAATAATCGTCCTCTCCATTGGGTCAGTCAGCTTCTCTGACCACGGAATCAACGCATCTTCAACATCCTCAATACAATCCAAAGCCTCTAGAATAGCGGGAATACATCCTCCGTAACTCAGACGTTTCGTCGAACACTTGGTGTGCACTTTACCAACCATACCATTCCCTCCAAACCCGCCATCTTTACTTCTCCTATCAACAAACCCATCACTAAAACCTGATTTTCCGACGCTGCCATTACCTGGGTTTACAAAAAGTAAGTTTTTTCCGGCGACAACTTCATGAGCAACAGTACCACAACCTCGGTCGCCATTTCTGGTGCTTCTCTGTGGTCCTTTTTCACTCTCGTGAGTTCCTGGTACGTAATTCTGCTTCACTTTCTTGACGGATGGGAATTTATCGAGAGGCGAAATCGGTAAGGTTTTTGTAGAACAGAGAACATGTAAGCTACTTCCATCTAAACGAAGATTCAACAACATTTTTCAACTGCAACGAGCATTAGTTTATTCACGAGAGAAAAGGAAAAGAATTTGCACTGCTAATTGCGACGACGGTGGTATATACTTCTCCGGCGAACGTGATTCTCTGTTGAATTCCGACGTGGTTTTTTTCTGGCAAAGTTGCAAATGGATAAAATTGCGCGCGCAAAGGACCTTTGTCCGAAAGACATTTAGGGGTTAAATTGATAATTTCGTAATAGTTTAAGTCCTTAAAGGAAATAAAAAGCTGTAATCTCCTGAAGTATTTTTATTTATACAAAACAACTCGTTATAAAATTTGTTTTCCAAATATTCCCAAACTTTTATCATATGCACATAAAAAACCATCTGTTTTTCTACTCCACATTTAACCTCCAAACTTCGTTACACAAATATCCAATCCTAGAGAGGATCTCTTTTAACATCTCAAGCAATGTAGACATATATGCGAAGGAAGCTCGCTTCTTCTTAGCTTACATGTACATCTTGAACCAGTAACCGATGTTTAGAAAGCTTTTCAAAATTGGTCTGTCATCTGTGGTCTGTGCACACAAATGT